GTGTGTGTTGTGTGTGTTTTGTTGGTGCGTTTTGTTTGTTTTCTGTGGTTGTTTGTTTGAGCCTGGTTTGTGGTGTGATGTGGATGCTGTTGTGTGGTGTGGTGTGTGTGTGTGTTGTGTGTAGTGTGTTGTGTGTCGTGTGTGTGTTGTGTGTGTTGTTGTGTTGTGGTGTGTCGTTAACTTTGTGGATGTGTGTTTTGTTGTCGTTGGTGGTTCCGTGTGGCTTGTGTGTTGTGTTTTAGGTTTGCGTTGTCATGACTTGCATGTCTGTGTGTTGTAGTGCTGTGTCCTGTTACGTGTTTGTGCTTGTTTAGTTGCATCCATTCGCTAGAGATTTATGTATATATTATGTATTGCTAGTTGATTAGTATTAATAGTATTGTATACTCTATAAATAGTATATATGTTTAATTATATAGTGTTATATTATATCATTACTTATACTATGTATTATATTTATATATATATATACTTTACTTTCATATATTGTTACATATTATCCTACATATGTTAATAAATATGTATATACTATATATATCTTTATTATATTTGAAATATATATATATCTATTACTCTTATCCTTCTTCTTTTTTCTTTATTTATTCATATATTCTTATAATATCTACATACCACCATTCACAACACTAAAGCACATTCTTATACATCTATTACTATACTACTCTAATATATTTAATATAGTAATATATTACTAATCATTATCTATCCCCTGCCAACACACCGAGCACCCACTTCTCATGTTCATTTTCTTTCTCTTTCTCTCTGCTGTCGTTATTCTACTCCCTAGCGGTTCTAATGACTTTACACACATTAACATATTATGACACACAAACATTATCTACACAGTGCCAAATCTGTTTGTAGTGTGGAGATTGGTGGGCGTATGCTTGTATGGCACTACGACACGAATGTGTCTCGGGTGTCGAATATATACTATATATTCATCCAATATATACACACAGGTATTTCTTTTAGTCAGCTAGCATATCCGACACTACTCCACACACATGTTGATATTCTATACTATCACACATCCAATTGCATACACAACACAATCGAACACATTTTATATGACATACACACCACCACACACACACACCACATAAGTATTAGTATCTGATTGTTACACACAGAAATCAAACATCACATAATACAGAATGACATACTTAATTATATCATATCGCTGTTTTTGTATTGTTGCCACATTATTCAACTACATGTCGATGTTTTTTCACACACATACTGATTTATTATATTATAGCTCGTCATTATATAGTCATTCAGTTATCTATGATTTGTTTAGCTATATGTATCTATAATAGAAATAAGTCCTGCCTATAGTCTTCATTATTATATACTTTATATTCATTTAATTTCCTATATATATTTAACACATGCTGTTTCCGTATTCAGATATTATACATCCTGCTTGACTTACTCTACACACACACATATTATATACACACATCTATTTAGTATATATACTTATATTTATTATCTTACTACACATATATATATATATATATTATATCTTTTTTTATCCTTTATATTTTATAATATTATATTATATACTTATTTATATTAATTATCAATTAATATATATAATTTCCATAATTATATAATATATAATATATAGTCCAATATTATTATATATAATATATACTCAGTCTATAATTATATATATATATTTTTTCCTAGATACATATTCATCATCTTTTATATCTATATCTATTATATTATATATACGTATATCTCTACCTTATACTATATATTCTAGTATATCATCTTGATATTATCATTTTAATTATTTTATTTTGTGTATTAATATACATATATCTATCATTAATTAATATTTACATACAATATATATATACTCACCCAGCACACACAATACACAGAAATACATGCATTTCATTACATACATACAGTATTAAATTAATTTATATATTTTATATATATCATATATATTTATATATATGATAGATATATATATATATAATATATATTATAAATTCTATATATATAGTTACATTTATTAGTATATATATATAATATATTAGTATATATATATACATATTCAATTATATTATTATTCATTATCGTAGTCTATATATATTATTATACGGTCTAATATAATATATATTTTATTATATATTTATATATATTATACTATATATAGTAGTAGGTTTATATATATATATATTTTTATCTACCTATTTATTATTCATTATATACTTATGATATATCTATCTATTATCACTATTATATTACCTAGTATTATAATATATATATTAATATATATAAAATAATTAATTATAGAGTGGTTTATATATTAATTGTTAATGTAACATATTAGTATAATATTATATATATATTTCCATATATATATTCTTTACATATATTATATACTATTCTATAATATATATATATACATATGTTAATATATATTAATATATATTATATATTATACTTTGATATGTTGTGAGTGTGTGTGTGTGTTGAGTGTTTAAGATGTTGTAATGTGATTAAAGAGATAGTGTGTGTTAAATTATTTTTTTTATTAATAGTTAAATTATTTTTTATTATATTTTAAATCAACATATATATCATATTAATATCATCATATATTGCTTTATATATATATTAATATACTATTATTATTATTATATATAGTTAAAAATTATCATATAATATATATATTATATGATCTTTGATAATTATTATTATATTAAATTAATAAATATATATTTTATATATAATATTTATATATATTCATATATGTATCCGAGTTATTATCATATTCCTTATTCATTAGTTTATCTATATATTCTATTATTATTCTATATTAATCATATCTTATATAATCACTATATTTAATTTATGTATGTATAAATAGATATATAATTTATAATATATATATATTACTTTATTGTAATTTAATATATATATATGACGTATTATATTATAGATATATATTAATATAATATATATATATATATATATATATATATTATATATATATATATATATATATATATATATATATATATATGTATAGGTATGTTGATAAATGCACATTTACAGTAAATATTAATTAAGTAGAATATTTCTCATTACATTGCATTTGAATATATTAATACAGTAACATAATTGCATAATGGCATATAACAATATTAATTTGCTATGTATAAAGTATATTCTCAGGAATGTCTTTAATGTAAATCAATTTAACCTGCAAGTAGGTTATCTTGTATTTCCCTTTTGTATCGTCTTGTTTTTCTAAAGTGCTAGCTAAGGCAGCCGCTAAAATACTCATGAATGTAACATTAGAAGTCCTAAAGCAAAAATGACATTATTGATATGATAGCAATATCGTAGCCTTGTTAGCAATGGCAGTATAAGAGGCTCTGCTGGGAACGAGTGCCTTAGTAACTTGGTAATCAGGCCTTCACAAATTTATCTCTTGGAGAATTCACATGAGTTTCTCTTGCCTTGACAAGCCGACTTACGTATGGTTTAATTCCGCTTATTTATTAGACCTTGTTTATTTCGTTATATGTTCCTCATTTAAAAGGCAGTGTCTTTGTTTTGTGTCTTTTATCAATAGCATTAACTATTTAGAGACGCAGGTAATTGATATTGTAGTGAAATCTTTGGTCTGTTTTGTCTTTATGTTGTTGATATCTCACCCCCCACGTCTCTGTCTTTTCATTTCTCGCTCTGTCTCTTGCTCTCTCTCTCTCTCTCTCTCTCTCTCTCTCTCTCTCTCTCTCTCTCTCTCTCTCTCTCTCTCTCTCTCATCCTTTCTCAGTTTCTGTATCTGTGTGTGTGTGTGCGTGTGCGTGTGCATGTGCGTGTGTGTGCGTGTGTGCGTGTGCGTGTGCGTGTGCGTGTGCGTGTGTGTGTGTGTGTGTGTGCGTGTGCGTGTGTGTGTGTTGTGTGTTGTGTGTGTGTGTGTGTGTGTGTGTGTGTGTGTGTGTGTGTGTGTGTGTGTGTGTGTGTGTGTGCGCGCGCGCGTGCGTGTTGTGTAGTACAGTGGTGAACGTGCTGGTCTTGTAAACTTGCTGACCTGACCTGTGCGCTACCAGTGAATGGTAACCGCGGCCATTCCTTGCACACAGGGGGAGATTTAGAAGGCAAAATAAAACAGACAGTATGTCACAGCAAAGAATATCCATTGTAACAAATGGAATTGAAACCATTTTTTTTCTTTTTGAAATCTCTCTCTCTCTCTCTCTCTCTCTCTCTCTCTCTCTCTCTCTCTCTCTCTCTCTCTCTCTCTCTCTTCTCTCTCTTCTCTTTCTCTTTCTCTCTCTCTCTCCCTCCCTCCCTCCGTCTCCCCGTTATTCTTCTTCTCCCTTTCCCCCTTTCCCTCTCTCTCTTTTTTCCCTCCTCGACTTAGCTACGTATTAGACTCCCAGACGTCGTTGTGCTCCAAACATTTCTGAACTTCCTGGTTGTCGACTCATCGTAATTGTGTCGTCCTGTGTTGTCACAAACCTCTTTTTCTTACCGTACTTCTTGATCCTACGTTCTTCTCTTCTATGTTCTATGTATCCTATCTGATGCGCGTGTATCTTGTACATTCTTGAGTTGAATTTCATTTCACTGCAGCATGTCTTTTTAATTTGTTACTGTCTTACATTTCGACATCCTTCTATTATTATTCACACTTTATTTACATCTCTTTTCTTCTTTTTTCTGTTAGTAGATCTACTTTACATTTATTTTTTTACATAATTGTTTTTTTTAGTTTATCCTTATCCCAATCCTCATTTTCTTTGCCCTCTCTTGTTCTTTTACGCCCACTATCTTTCTCCGTTGGCTTCATACCCCCAGGTGAGGGACGAGGCGCACACGGTCGAGTCCAGTCGCTCCCGCCGCCCGTACAAGCCAAAACGGGCAGGCCCCTTCAAGCCTACTCAGTTTATTGTTTGGAAGGAGAATGAGACAGAGACACATCAGCGCTCCAAAAGCGTTGATCGAATGTACCAAGAAAGGCGTGCTTTAGAGTCTCGCCAGACGTCAAAATTAGCCATACAAGAGTCAGCTTTTGATAGCCACGATTCTCGACACTTTAGTGAACGAGCTATTGCTGAAGCTCGTGCTGCTCAACAACAGTCTAGTTTTATGCAGGCTGAACGATACAGTCAGGAGTACCAACAGCAACATAAACATCAGTACCAACAGCAGATGGCTATGTGCTCCACTGCTAGTCACCGCATGAGAGCGGAATCCAAAGCAGTACCTGAACCTCCCTGCCCCATGTGTGGAAATCCCGATTTCCATCCAAATGAGTAAAAGTTACTCCTCTGCCGTCCCTCCTTCCTCTATCCTCACTTTCAATTCCACTTTCCTCGTCTCCCACTCACTCTAGACACAGTAGTAGATGCTTCATAATTTTTATGTAGCGTGCAGTCGCGAACCTCTTAAACTCTTTTCTGTATTTAGATCTTTTTCTTAGCGTTTTAGTTCAGAAGGAATGCATTTTTTACACAGGATGTACATGAGTAATTCACCCTCATTTATACTATTGTAGTTTTGTGTAGACCTCAGCGTCGGGGTAGAATAATCGGATGGCCAAGTAGCTTCCCTTTCCCCGACGCTTCTCTTTCGAACGAAAATAAAGTCTTGGGATGTTATTTCCAAACCATTCACGTGAACCTCGAACGAAGCGAACGAACAGTCGCTTGCCTCTTTGTCTTTGCCTTGTGACTTTCCCAGCAGCCTCACTGTATCGCAACGAGAGGACACACGTCTTAGTTCAGAGGATGAGGTGTCGATGAGCTAAGACGGATTTCGAAGTTTCTTTAGTTGGCGAGTTCAGTTTTACTCTTGTTGTCAGGTCATATTATGTTAGCGGTTGAGAAAAGGAAGTGGCTATATCCATGTTTCTTGTCGATAATGTGGTTAACGATGTGTATATAACTTTGTATATATGGTTGGCATAAACTGAATTCCTATAAGATCTTAAAGCGAAATCGAGCTTAAGAGATTCCTTGTATGATACACAGGATCGCCTGTCACGTCACATATTTCTCATTGTTTTTTACAACAGTGGGAAAGAACATCTATCTCATTCTCTATTCCTTGTTTACAAGAAAAAATATTATAATTAGAAGAAACCCTAAACCGTAAGCCGAATGTCTAACATCTCATATTTAGAAACTAACAACAAAAGCAGAGCAAAAGTAAAATATAAACAACCAATCTTTCTAACAAACCTTCCTTCTGACGTTATCAACACAGTAGCCAGAAACACGTCCCAGCCAATGACACATCTGTTTGGTTTAGCCTGTGGTTTTCATTCGCGGTTCGCCCTCTTAAATTTATGGTATTCAAAATGAGGTATTTGAGACTGATTCTAAGACTAAGACAAAGAAAAAAGTCGACAGCTACAAGAACGGCCAACTAAACTTCTTTGGAACCCGACATTCTTACACGAAAGATTCAGGATGGAAGATTGCCTTTCTATTAGCTCCATCAAATGAACTTGGACAAATGGCTAGTAGGTGGTGTCCAGCTAAAGTCGCAACTCTAGAGCTTTTTACGGAAACTTGGAGTCTCAAGTTTTATCAAAGAGAATTTAAAGGAGAGTTTTCTAGTTATCAATATTTAACATGTTATGCAATCCCAGAATTGCAAATACAATCCAAGTTGAATATATCTAATACAAGGAAATCACTACTTTTTCCGAATCACTCAGTTCTAAAGTCAAAGTAAAGGGCTCTAAAAGCAGTTTTTCCCTTGCACGTGTTCTTTCTGTTATTCCCAAAGACTCCCGATTGGAAGCTGGTTCAGGTAATGCCCCCCCCCCCCCACGTTCCCAGCTCTGACACAACAGTCAGTTATTAGGTTTTGCCACAGACAAATATAGACCCTGCTAGCAGTGCTGTCCTGGTTATGACATGAAAAAGGTGAAGGTAGACTAATGAAAAGCATAGTAATGTAGGAAAGTGTATCGTTTGATTTTGTTCCTGGAAAAGTAAAGACACCATGCACATGCTAAATCGAGACAAGTAACAGATTAGCTATTAACACTGTGTCTGCCTGGGCTCTTTATTTGTGTTAAACAGATCAGTTTTGAAGTTTTAGGCTAATGCTTATCATCTGCCTTAAAACTAAAACAACTAAAATAATTGAGCATTATCCTATGCTAATAAACATCTAATATTATATATATAAAAAAAAAAAACTTTTAACATATAAAATAACTTTTATCACTATAATATTTTAGATGTTATTGTAGAGGGGAAGTATAACGATTTGTTGAAGTTTCTCCACTTTTGAAGCACGATGATGCTCCATCATCCAGTGATAGGAACTCCAAAAATGATTAAAAGTGATAATGACAATGTTGATGATAAAGGCATTATCGGGGTGATTATTTCACCACAAAGAAAGAGATCCAGACGCGACGACCCGAACGGCACATATGAATATTGATATTTCAGGACCAACGTTTACTACATGTTAATAGCCGTCACTTAATTAAATTATTTTAGATGTAACAAAAAGATCCTAATTTCAAAAATGTACCTTTTTTTTTTTTTTTTTTTTTTGCAAATTCCCAGCGTTTTGTGGCTGCATTTTAACTTTTTTCTTAACCCTTGCTTGTTTTTTTGTTGCTTATTTCTAATCTAACTTTATGAGAATGGTTTTATTGCAATGCCTCTCTCAGTTGAGTTATTTTTTGCCAAGGTTATATTTTCCTAGTCTGTTTTCAAGGCTAATACTTACCCTTGCGTTCCACCTTCATTATTCGAACACCTATTTCTACTCGTCCATTATTTTCTCACTCGAAATGCTTTCACATCCTATATCGATTGTTTTCTTCCCTTTTCCTGCGCCAACTCCTCGGGCGCGTCGGTCTCCTCCTCGTTTACGTCCCGAGAGCAGAGGATCCCCATAGTGCACGAACGTCGCCGCTTCACGGACGTCATGGACGAGGAAATTGACGACGAGCGGAAGAGGACGGCGCTGGACCGGTACACGGCCGGGTTTGTGAGAAGCAGAATGGAAACTTGCTCCCTCGACATGCCGAGGAGAGTGAAGCAAGAGGTAAATTCCTTTGGCCAAGTTCTCCACACTATGGGCAAGATGAAACGAAAGCCTGAACTTGTATATCTTTGTCCTTTGACATGAATGTTAAGAATGTGTGTCATCTTGTCCTATAAGAATGGAAGACACCCAACTGTCAAAAGTTTGTAGTAAGTAAAGAAGAAAACGTCAGCAGATATTCTAATTTGTCTTCAAAGGTACCAAGCCGTCTCTCCATCTACG